AGCTGGTTCCAGATTTTGGCCACCCTAACTGTAAAATATTGCCTTCTGATCTCTAACCTAAACCTATTCTCCATCAGCTTATTACCATTGTTCCTCATCACCCCAGGGGGTGCTGGGGAGAAAAGGGCTCTGCCTATTTGCTGTTGATCTCCCCTGATGAGCTTGTAGGCAGCCACCAGGTCCCCCCTCAGCCTCCTCTTGCTGAGGCTGAGCAGGTTCAGGTCCTTCAGTCTCCCCTCATAGGGCCTGTCCTGCTGCCCTCTCACCAAGCGGGTGGCCCTCCTCTGAACCCTCTCCGGGCTGGCCACATCCCTTTTGAAGTGCGGCGCTCAGTACTGGACGCAGTACTCCAACTGCGGCCTGACCAGGGTATGATCATGCCATTCTTCTAACTTCTGTGCAATGCATTACATATGTCTGCTCTAGAGCTGTGGATAAACACCTCTTGGGGTGTGGTGTGGTTTGAATTAGATCCAAATGGCAGCAAATCATAAATAAATGAATATAGGGATATTTGCCTACAGAAAGGGATCAGGCATAGGCCCAAGGCCATCAGCTAACTAGCACTGTCCTCCTCCAAACACTTGAACCTGAAGAATAAGCCCCTGGACAGGTATAACCTTTGAAGCACTTCATACACCTTTAAAGTGCTTCAAAGGGTAAGTAGACAGGTATCCAGGTCCTATGAAGCACTCCAAAAATGGCAAAAAAAGCGCTTCAAAATAACCCTGGATTGAAATAGCAGCAGCTTGGAAGCATTTTATTTTCAAGCACTTCCAGTTATGGCTGCATGCTCTACAGAGCTTGACAAAGGTTTGCTTAGTCCTCTGGCATCTTGAGATGTGGAGGTGGAGAGCAGGGCAGACAGCAAATGAATATTCTCCCATGTCGTCATCTGTCCCTGGGGCTAGAGAGCAGGAATCCCTGCACATCTCTGATGCTGGTCTCCTTCTTCTAGTAGGAGGGTCCAGGGGTTTTCCCATTCCAGCAAAGGGGAGCACTGCAGTTCGGGTGAGTGGAGGTGGGCACTCAGTCATTCTCGGCAGTTCCTAGAGGTGGAGAGAGCTAAGCAGGGAATCGCTCTCCCCAACCCCAGGAGCCTCTGGAACCAGGAAGCTGGAAGCTGAGCACATAGGGGAATGCTCATTGCCTGTCTTCCCCACTCCCCTTCCCCACCCTGTGTGGGTGGGGAGCCAGACATTCAGGACCAAGGAGCCCCCAGCTGTACCCTCCAGCTGGAGAGCATGCTGATGCATGCTGTTGTGAAGATTTGGAAGCGTTCTAGCAGAAAAGAAAGTATGGCAAGGGGCTGTACATCTGTCCACAGCTGATGTGCTTCATTTTTTTGAAGCACTTCAAATGTTACATATGTCCCCAGCCTTAGAGAAAGAAGAAACTTGGAAGGGAGGGGGGATTCTCCCTTGAAGTCTGATAATGTCTGAAGCTATACAATAAATAGTCTAATTGTGGGTTTGGAGACTAGAACCAGCTTTTGAGGAACATGAAACAGAATAAATGAAACAATCACATCTTGCTGCATAGGACCTACCAGAGATCCCTATCCATTCAAACTGTTTTTCCATAAGGCCAAACTCTCTAACATTTTCTGTAGCAAGAAGGCTCATAAGCTCTATTCCCATTTTCCTTTCAATCATGAGTAACACTTTTATAAAACTGTATGAGCTTTGCAGAATGCTGCAATGTTATCAAAACATTCAGACGCTTGTCTCATTACTTAAATCACATACTTCTTACTCAGAGGTCAACTAATCCAAACTATGCTATTTCTTGATAAATATATATATATCTATATCTCCAGCTGTGCACATGTGAATGTGAACAGCTGCTGGATGTTACAAGACTATTTTATATTTTGTTAAGGAAAAGGTGTTTGTAACACCTTACAAACCTTTAATGTGTCATCTCATTTCAAGAGTGAGCTTACATCTTTTTACTCATCTACAATTTGCTGTAATTAATGTTGTTCACAGTAAATGGATGGTTTTAAATCAATGTCTTCCTAGGATTACCGTCATCCTGATAGGGTGAAGTTCTTGCTGCAAACTTACATATTTCAGCCCCTTTAGCTGTCATAATCAAGTCATTACCTTTGATGCTGTTGCTGATTGTAATGAGTGTAATGACTCAGTTAAATGTTTAAACCTTGGCAAAAATACACTCAGAACTGCATATTTGTAATTCTGTTCTAGAAGCTGTCAAGCTCTGATATCCTGTACTGAGAGGACATCAAAGAAAGAGGGAAAGAAAGACTTTCATTTTCAGCTGCATTTTTCCTACTCTCCTGAGGGAGTCACTGAGCATTGGACACAAAACCAGTGTTAAGACCTGCAGTCATGGCAGCTGAATCTTCACAAGCAAGGCCATTGTGTAGTACCTCTAGGTCAAACTGGCCTCTCTGTAAGGAACAAGACCAGCTCTGTTTATCTTGCAGCTGTGCATGTTCCTAGGCAGCCCACATGGAAGAAAGTGTTGAGGCTATGCAGAAGGAAACGTGGGTGGGCTAATGGGGTGCCCTGGGTGTCTCCAGGCCCCCTATTTGTTACTTACCATCCCAACCCATCATTCACAGAGAAACTCCAGTCAGGTCTAGGGGTTTCTCCAGTCTCAGACACTATACATAAGCAGTAAACAGTGACTGGCCCCACTGTGCCTACGTTAGCTGAGAAAGCATGACTACTGCAAATACTGTAGGATGGTCAGGGCAAATTCTGCTTTCCCTCATCTATCTGCAGGCCATGGGCTTGTCTAAACTCAGAACATAATTGAAGTCTTATAGCACATTAACACAGGCCCACTGCTATGTTTTAAGTCCCCAAGCATTTCCAAGTCCCCCAAGCCCACAGAGAGCCCTGAAGGGGTGAGGTAGCTCCACTGGTGGGGGCAGAGGAGGAACCTGAAAAAGCAGTAGGATGAACCTCATGGTCTGCAGACTACAGTTCTGTCAAAGGTTTGTTTTGCCCCAGACTGCAGGGCAGTTTGAAAGATGACCTGTCACTGAAGCCAGGGGATTGCAGCTAAGCAGATTCAATAGCTGGGAGAGTGATGGGTGCTACAGAAAGCCTCCTGACCTGCTTAGTAATCTAAGAAGTGCTCCAAGAATAGGATTTATCTTTCCTGAGCACCTGTTAATTCCTCCTGAAGTGAACAAGAGTTTTGCTACTTGAGGGATGCAGGTTCTAACAGCCAAAGTTCATGCCCATCTACTGTTTTGCTCTTTGCATTTATTAACAGTTGAAACTCTGTTAATTGTGCTGGGTCAATGATTACATATACACGCTCTCCCTTAATGCACTGTACTACAGAGGTGGCTAAAAATATATTGTGACTGAGTAAGATGAAAGAAATGTATTACCTGCTAAAGCCATTTTCAATTCGCTCAACATCTTCATCAGAGGCTCTGACAGACAGCCTGTGCATACTAGGGTAGGAGTGCTGAGTGTTGATTTTAGCCATTTTGCTTTACATATCAACATCCAAATGACAGCTGAAACACACACACACACACAAATGTTGGAAAGTCAGCAAAAGACATCAAACATGGTACATATTAAAAAGAATGATTTATTAAAAAAGCAAAATATCTTAGTAATTTGCAGAATAGTGACTGATATTTGTAAATGCAACAAGAGCATTACTTGGAGCATGTAAACTAGGCAGAACAAAATGCCAGAGAATGTACAATGGAGAATAATGCTTCATTGGTATAGAACTAAATTAGAAAACACAATAGATCTTTTCAGCTTCTAGACCCTATGAATACTTATTATAACAAGTATGATATATAATACGCCTGCATTTAAAAATCCTGTTAGAATTATAGTAAGTTGAGCAAGCCAGCCAAAAAACTTAGGTGGTCTATGAATTAAGGTTATTCATTCAATCTTAATACATTTTATGGTAGAATTTAATTACATGGCCACATCCTATTTTTCCCCAAGAACTCCTTACTCACTGCACTGTGTGGAGTGAGCTAACTGAATGAATAATCATACCTTTTTTCCCTTCATCATTTAATGTGTGACCCTATACTTTATTTATGACATACCATTCTAAACCCTGCAGTATCTAAAACCTTCATTTTCTCATGAGCTTCCTTTTATTGCTCTCACTCTGTCCAGGGCCAGGTCCTAATTGTCTTCTAAGGCACCTCTACTGTATTTTAGGCCACTGTTGCAAAGCTTATATTTTAGATTCTATGGCCCAGGATGGTGATACAAATTGACATGGCTAGACACCTGGGGCCAGATTCTATTCCACCTATTAGGTGCATAAGTGGACTTAGGAAGCCGAGTGTTTTTCTATTCCACCTTTGAGTGGCTAAAAATCTATTAATATACCTACATTTGTAATACATTATCATCTGATCCCTGAGACTGAATCACAAAAAAAGCAGTGAGGAGGAGGAAGACCCACCCACATTTTGTATTAACAGTTTCTCAGGAAGTCAAGCAGGGTGGAATAAGATCACATATAAGCACTTATGTTCACTTGTGTGCCTAGGAGCTACATCTAAATGATCTTAGGGTATAAACAGATGTGCCAAGGGAAGCGGATCTGCTTCACTAGGTGAAATGCATGTTGCCTGTTGTCCTACCCCTCAGTCCTGTGGGATAAGGGCAACATGTTTCCCTCTTGCAGAGATGCACCCCAAAGAATCTCCAGGCTACATCTCTGCAAGAGGGGAAAGCTGGCTCCAGTGCAATCCTGGGGCTGAGACTGCCAATCAGCTGATTGGCAATCTTAGTCCCAGGATGGCACCAAAGCAAGTTTGACTTACCAGTGTGGTCCCAGCCCCAAGACCACACCAAAGTGTTGACAGGATCTTAGAGAATCCCAAACGAACAAACCCAGCCAAGTGCTTCCAGGGCTTTGGGGCCTGATCCTGTGCGCTCCAGGAATGTAGTGAATGGGGAACTGGGAATTTCCAGCTGTGTGAGCAGCTCTGGGCAGACTGAATTCTCCCACCATAAACCTAACAGATGTCTTCCACAATAAAACAGCACAAACTGATACCACCTATACCGTACCCACAAATGTTGGGCATTTGTGGTATGACAAGGGGTATGGACATCTGTTTGCTTGGCCTTTGTGCAGCCATGAAAATTTTGGTGATGTCTGTTTCCACTCTTAGACACCTAGGTAGGATCCTATTTTATCTTGTTCAAGGCCTGAAAATTCCTAAATGTATCTACCTTTGTAGATGAACCACCCACTACTTGCATTAACTTTTTTTCATGGACCTGAACAGTGTGGATAGAATTGCATTTACCTGCTTAGTTGCTAGCTCCCTAGTGGCTCAGCAGAGAGATGCCTACAGCTAGCTAACAGAAAACTAAGCCACAGGGATGCATCTGAACTTTTGCTCTTCCCCTGGATCTTTGGTATCCGATTCATGGCTACAAAGAAAGTACTTCAGTTACATCAGGATCTACAAAGCTCAGGGGGTAGGCACTGACCTGTACCAGAAAAGCCTAAATGACAGCAACTTCGTGTTTAGCATAAAGCATAGTGCCCCCCCCTTCATTCTTTACTGTGGCTGGTGGGGAAATAGGATGCAATCGCCATTTGCCCCAAAGGATAGTAATAAAAGCATCTGCCCAACAAGTCAAAGACCTGCTTCTAGGCCCATCCTGAGGATATTGAAACCCATATCTCCCACTCCCCAAGTGAGCGCCCTCACCAACAGGGGGGAGCTACATAGGCCATGGAACGGGGTGGGCCACCCAAGTCATGGCCCAACCAACTTTTAGCATGTTAATTTAGCTAGCCATGCAGTTAAAAAAATAGCTATACAATATTAACTGGAATGACAATTGCGCATTTGTTGGTTATATAAATTAAAGTGCTAAAAGTTGGTTGTGGGTCCACCCTGTTCCGCAGCCTTTGGGGAGCTAGATTGGTGGTGGTGGGCTTTCCCCATCCTGTTTAAGCTGAACTACTGAACAACCATGTATGAAAGATTCATAAGGTAAAATGATAAAATGAGTAGAAACAAATCACTGTAGCCTAATGTTTATGGCATTCCCCTGGAAGAAAGAAGTCCTGGCCACTGCTCTTGCCAGGGGTATTTAAGTAATGATTCTCTAATATAAAATGCATAAATAGTTTTGGTAGAAGGAAAAGAACACAGAATTCTCTCTCTTCCTCCCAGGGGGGGTGCCACCTCACTGAGCCAGAGTCACACCCCCTCTTCCTTTCTTTCTTTCTGGACTGTTTAGGTAATTATTTCTAATGCCATTCCAGAATAAAGAGAGTCTCCAACTCTCCCAAATGTATTGCTGTTTCTAAGCTATTATTTATTTACTCACTAACATCATTAGGAGGTATTCCTGCTTATTAAGGTTTGCTGATTTGGGGATTGACATTACTCTTGCTGAAGTCAACTACCATTAACTTTAATAGTATAAGAACAGTAAGGCACTGAATTTGAAAGCTTGTCTAAGTCTATCCCAACCATTTGGTTGGTCCACAAAAAGATATCACCCACAATAACCCTATAATATCTACAAGTATGTATTACTTATTTACAAAAAACTGACCAGAACTTATTCTCCCCTTTTAACCTGTGGCTCCTAGAGAACTTGATGGTACTGTCCTCTTACATAATAGTCTAGTGCTGACAACAGCTGTTCCGAAAATAGAAACCAAGATTCAAATCCCTTTATCTGAAAAGGTCCAAACCAACATTCCCTTCTCCCAATGGAAAGTGCCCTAACCACCCCGGGGAAATGACTCCCTATCCCATGTGTTGAAGCTGAACTGCTGTACATAAAAGGTTTCAAGGCCTGTTGGGCTACAGAGAGAAAGAGAACAGAAGAGTGTGATTCTGCAGGCTCACTCTTAGGGTAGGACAGCTACTTTAATTTGGGTCCCCAGTTCCTGGATTTTTTATGAAAGTGTTATTGGAAAAAATATGAACTTCAATAAGAATAAGTAGGCAGAGAGTATGTAATACCAAGGTATTTAGGAATTGGCAATGGTGGACCTATTCTTTATGATTTTTCTGTTTTTCTACCAGAATAATGGAGTCAGAATAACCTGGTGTTTTACTAACCTCCCTTACTGAACTGAAAACACATGGAAGTCAGTAATAATTTTGATTTAGATCACACACCGCCCTGACATTTCTACCAGGAGAAATCACTGTCCTCCCAGTAGAGACTACAAGCATACTGCATTCATTCCATTTCTCCCAGGAGAAACATACCCCCTCCAGGAGAAAGATCTTCCAAGTGTTATCCTGGATGATCTCCCTTGTGAGAAAAACTGTCTCATAAGAATGAATGCTTGTATGTTCTCCTCCCAGTCTGATCTGGGAGGGGAGGGAAGGGAAGCAGTGGGGCAATGCTCCCCATATCTTCCCCAAACCAGGGACTACAAGATGGGCAACAGAGGCAGCAATGATAGGGCTGGGAATTAGGCTCAGAGAATCTGTCCCCAAACTCAGTTCCAGCCTTGATGGCTTCCCCTTTCTTCCTTTGCCACCCATCTGTATTTCTACCTCTTCTGAAAACTTTTATCAGAAATTTCTACTGCTAGAAATGAATGCCTGCTGTGGCCTTAGTATGAACTTCAGAATTTGGCTCTTAAAATTAGTACAGGTGATTTAGACCAGATAGTAATAGTAATCAGGTACGAATTTTCATTGATTGTAAAATGCTACAATCCCAGAGTGGTTGCATTTTACATAGACTTTGGAGAAGTTGAAACAGATATAGAAGGTACAAGGCAGTGTAGTATCAGGCTAACAATATTCTCTTCCTTTATAATGCAGCTATGTATGTAGGGCCAAATCCTCGTCCTACTGAAGTCACTGGGAAAACTTTTATTGACTTTTGGATTTTGGATTTTATCACCCACTTGTCTGTCTACCTTAGATATTTATAGGGCATGTCTACACATTGTGCTACATCACCATAGTGACATGCTATATCAATATATGGTGTGCTGTGGTGACATAGCAATCACATGAATCTACACATGATTGGCAGCTACTTCTCTGTAGCAACATGCTCCTCCATTTTAGCACACCGTTATGGTGAAGTAGAAGCAAAATCCAACCATACACCATGCACACAGCACAGTACAGGCAGTTACTGCGCCATGCTTTAGTACCTTTTGGAAGTACTAAAGCACAGTGCCATAACAACGTCACCATACAGCAATGTGTAGTCATGCCCATAGATACCTAACACCAGTATCTGAGTCTTTTAAGTACTATGTGCAGGTTTTAGTCACTGAAACATCCGATCTCCTCAGAGTCCTCTCAGCTTTGCATACGGAAAAGGACAAAAGATGCTGAAAACCCAGTTTTCAAGCTCCAGCTTGGGTACATGAAGATGGGCAAGTCTGATAAACCTATATTTAGGAGATTAAAATAAATATTTAGCCTGTATCCTGTAGAATAGTGGCCCTCCAGGAAGTCCACACCATTGCAGCAGTACCTGGGTGCA